AATGAACCTAGTCTCCAAACTCACCCATAGATGTGTTCCCAGAAATTTCTATCTTAGGTGATTCTGGATCCTGTCCAGTTGAAAACCAATGTGAACCATCAGAGGTATTATAGACACTAGGGTGTTGGGAAAATGATGTTTGAGTTATTCTGTAGAAAAGGTAAAGGAGAAACGTTGCATGGAAATTTTGATAATTTCAAGGAGTAAGGCACAGAGGTAGCAGAAGGAGGAGGTGGGGCAGAATTTGGTAAATTTCAGAAGACAGAGACAAAGTAGTTCAAGGTGACAACCAACAAGACATGGCTCTCAGCTTAACAGGAGTAAGATGGAGGAAATACTTGGAACATGGAAGGATAAGTTCCTATGTTTGAGAATTTAAGAGGACATTTCCTTGTGAGTTGGCACTGGGGAGTCTCCTGTTACCTGAAGCTATAGGGCATTATTTATAACTACATAAGCCTTCCTCGGGACAGACTAAAATTGACTGTGGGAGCTGTTGGCAGGAGAAGCTGGTAGGGCCAAAATGTATAGCAACATGGAAAAGGCATTGTGTAAAGCAGAATCAACTGACAGGCTAAGTGCCCCAGAGATAAGGTTTATTTGCCCCGATAATCGACAGACCTTAAGGTGCCACTTGACGAGAACATTTGAAGCTGACCAGCAGGTGGCACCAACCTCCAAGATGGATCTAAGGGTTTGCACCTCCTAGCATTCATTTCCTTGTGTGGTCTCTTCCCACAGCAGACAGGGATGACTTTTGTAACCAATAAGGTAATTCCACACCAGTGACAAACCATAACTCCCAAAGTTAGAACATCAAAGAAATGCTGGCATGTATTGTTCATGCATCCCTGGGTAGAGAGGACCACATTGGAGAAACTGCTGCCAACAAATAGCAACTTGCTGGATATATGAGTGGGTTATCTGGGAAATGTTTCTCAGCCCAGCCACTTTCTCAAATGACTGTGGTCCCTCTTGGCACAAGAAGTGGTACCACCTTGGGACTTTGTGGAATCCATACAAAGCAAAAGGTGTTTTACCAACCATGGCTTCTTGACATTGGACTTCCTACCTTCTAAGAACCATGAGCCAAATAAATCTTAATTCCTTATAAATTACTCAGTATATCGCATCCAGTAACAGTGATACTAAACATGTTGGAAAATTGGCTAACTCAGACTAAAAATTCAGAAGGCTGGCTCCTGTGTTACCTTCCATCTAGACTGCGGAAACAGTCCTAAATTCTGAGTCATAGAATCTACATGAAATAGATATTTAAAAAACATATCTAAATCTTGGTACCAACGGCCACTTAGCAGGATGTAATTTACACACACCTTGTATCCAGAATTAGGATATTGGAACACAATCTGAAAATACAGACATGGAATTGGATCTATAGAGCTCCAGAAAGGAAGCTGAAGAGGAGGGTACTGTAAGGCTCTCATGTTGCTAAGCGACAGCTTTCCCCATCTGAGGATGAAAGTACCACTCACTACTGCCCTTTATTTCCACCTCTGCATCTTCACTGACATTCCAGGGCTCACTACAACCAAAAATAAGGATCCAGTAGAATCTATGGCACAGTGATTGACATGCATGTGCAAGTGTCTCTCGACTTGAGTGTGGAGTCCTTTGGGTATATGCTCAGAAGTGGTCCTGCTGGGTCACGTGGTAGTTCTATTTTTGTGTTCTTGAGAAGCCCACACTGATTTCTGCAGGGGCTATCCTAGTCTACATTCCCACCAACCAGTGAATAAGTTCCTCTTTTCCTGCGCCCTCTCCAGTGTTTATTGTCATTTGTTCTCTTATAGACATTCTGGCTGGGATGAACTGGAATCTCAAAGTTTTGATTGGCATTTCTGGGATGAATAGAGATGTTGGACTCTTGAAAAATATTTATCAGTTACTTGTATTCTCTTGTGAACTGTTTAGTTCATTGATTCATTCACTGATCAAGATGTTTTTAATATTTAAAATTTGCAGTGCTTTACATATCCTAGATATTAACCCCTGTCTGAAGTAAAGCTATGAAGGATTTTCTCCTAATTGTAGATTAGCTGTTCATTCTGATGATAGTTACTTTGGATGTGCAGAACCTTCTAATTTTATGTAATCCCATTTGTCAACTACTCTATCTTGTACTACTGGAGTTCTTATCTACAACTATAACCACAAACTGTTTTCCCCAACGTTTCCAATTTTAAATTATGGTCTCTGATCTAATTTAAACTTGTTTTGCTCATGGTGAGAGAGGGTTATAATTTCATTCTTCTGCAGGTATGTATCTAGTTTTGCCATGGTCATTTGTAGAAAAGGCTGTTTTTCCCCCCAATGCATTTTAAAAATATCTTTGTTAAAAATGAGTTGTTATAGTTATATGGGTTTATCTTTGGATTTTCTATTCATTCAGTGGTGTTGGTATACATGTCTGTTTTTGTGCTGGTGGGATACTGTCCTTATCACTATGGCTCTGTAGGATGGTTTGAAGTCAGGTACTATGAAGCCTTCAGGTATGCTCTTTTTCTTTAGAATCATTTTAGCTATATGTGGTCATTTGTGTTCCTATATGAATTTTGGGTTTTTTTTTCTACTCATGAAGAGTGTCATTGGAACTCGGATGTGGATCCCATTGAATCTGTAGATAACTTTTGCTAGTATATGGCTGTTTTCACAATGCTAACCCAGGAGCATGGAAGGGTCATTGCATTGTGGAAGATCTTTTTCCATTTCTGTTTTCAGTACTTGAAGCTTTTGCTATCAGAAGTCTTTCACCTTTGTTGTTAGGTTTAGTCTATGTATTGTTGAGGATATTGTGAATGGAATATTTTTCACGATATCTTTGTCAGGAAGTTCATTATTGGTATATACAAAGGCTACATATATATATAATACATACATATACATACATAATCAAGCTGCTTTACTAAAAGTGTTTATCAGATCCAAATGTATCTTGGTGAAGCCCATGTAACTTTTCAGTATAGAATAATATCATTTGAAAAAAAAAGAGCTTAACTTTGGAATTGGTTAACTTTTTCTTTTAAAAATTTTATACATTTTCTTTCCTATGTCTTATTGCTTTCCATAAGACTTCATGCAATACACTAAGTAAGAGTGGGGGGAGTGTATGCTTTTGTCTCATTCCATATTTTAGAGGAAATGGTCTCAGTTTCCCCCCAGTTGGTATAACATTGGCTACAGGTTATGCTATACAATTCTTTATTATATTGAAGTATATTTTGTCTGCTCATATTTTCTTCAAGACTTTTATGAAGCTATGCTGAACTCTGTCAAACTCCTTGTATGTATTTATTGATATGATCATGTGAATTCTGCCTTTAACCATAGTAATATGATATCACATTTGTTTATTTGTATATGTTGAATTAACCTGCTTGCTTGTGATCCTGAGTTCAGCTTGTGGGCATCTTGGTATATCAGGGTTATTTTGTCTTTACAGAATATGTTTGGTAGTGTTTCTTTGTGGCCTATTTTAAGAAGTGCTGGTATGAGATCTTTCTGGAAAGTCTGGTAGAATCCAGCAATAAATACCACCCCTGGGCCTTTCTTGGTGGGGATATGATTTTAATTACTGCCTCAAAGTCATTGCTTGTTGCGAGTTTGTTCAGGTTTTTCTCTTCTGGCTCTAATTTGATAGCTACATTTGGAATTTGTCCATTTCTTGTAGCTTTTCCAACTTGTGGTAGTTCAGTTTTCAAAGTATCCTTTGATGGTCTGAATTTTGTTGGACTCTTTTATAAAATCTTCTTTTACATCTCCAGTTTTATTAATTTGTATTTTCTTGCTCTTTTGGTTATCTTGGCTAGGGCTTGTTGATAAGTCTTAAAAGTCTTTTCAAACTGACCTTTTCAAAAACCACGTTGGAGGTTCTAGCAGGGGAGCGCAGTTACTCGTATACACTTGACCAGAGACCGATCTTCCTCTCTTAAGGGAAGGTCATCCTCTTTGACCCAGCATGCAGCTTCAGGAGGGATGCATGCACATGGGGCGGTGAGGGGGGGAGGGGACACCTGCCTAGCTAGCCAGATCAGCCAAACCAACCCTGGCGATCAATGGGGTGACAGATGTCGCAGCCAGATCACCCTCACATCCTTAAAAATCTTTTCAAAGAACCAACGCTGGTTAACTTTGTTATTTTTGTTTTTTAAAATCTTTTTAATTATTTCTCCCATAACGTTGCCATCTGCTGCATTTTGGGTTTGCATTTTTAGAGCTTTGAGGTGTGTCATTATTTTAGGTCCCTCTGATCTTTAAAGCACGAGCAGTTATATCTACACAGTTTGCTTTTTGATCTACCTTGGCGAAATCCCAGAAGTTCTGGTACGCTGTGTTCTCATTTTTGATTCTAGAATGTTTTTTAAAATTTCCCAATTTCTTCAGTAGGCCACTGTTCATTCAGAAGAGTGTTGGGCAGTCGTCAAGTCCTTGTGTATGGTCTGAGTTCGTTTTGTTGCTGATTTATAGTTTTACTCCACCCTAGTCTCATAGGATGCAGGTAGGATGCAGGGGATTACATCTGGGCTTCTGAAAGCAGTGTCTGTTCAAGCACCTGGCAAACAGGCTGCTATCATGTGGTTTTCCAAAACTCATGCGACATTAAATTACCAGACAGGTTGGGAGGTAGCTTTAGCAGGTGGCCTCTAATGGATCATGGTCGTTCTTGTGGGAGGGGCTTTGTTACAAACGCGTTCTCTCGTTCCTGTCGCCATCTCTCATGTGTGTGTTTGCCCTTTTACCAGTTCACACGATGCCCTCAATATATAGATGATTTATTTCCTTTATAAATTAACCACCACCCTATCAGATGTCAAATATGCACCAAGGCAAGGTTCCACGTGCAAGCTCTCCCTGACTGGACTGGTCAGAGGGGTGTGGCTTCTAGCGACACAGCAAGACCAGTCAGGACCAGAATTTACTGAGTTGAGAATTCACAATGGTAACTCCTCGGGCTTAGTAAAAACGATTGTCACTCACCATGCATCACAAAATTTCTTTTAATGAATAAATAATTTGATGAAATCAAAAAATATTTACAATATAAACAAATGGAAAAGCTTTGGATCTGTGACTCTAACCACGTTACATTTCTGAACGGAGGCCTCCCCAGCTTTTCTCTTTGAACGATACAAATCCGCTAGAAACAACTCATACAACTGTGTCTTTGTTCATTACATCTTTATCTGTTAGTCCTTGAAAGCTATATAATCTTATATTATGCAACATGTTAAAATACAAATATTAACTAAAAGAATATATTATCATAATGCCAGGTAGCATTCTCCACAGAACAAAACATACACTCAGTTGTAACAATGACAAAGGGTCACAGCCACAAAAGGAAAAATAACCCCAAAAGTACAAATTCCTTCATAAGAATATAATTGTGCTCTTCCGTTGACCAGATGTCTGTGCTGCTCTAACAAGGCCAGTGGCGAGGAGAACAGTCTCTGGTGACTGTCTGCTGTGTGTTGGTCACGCAGCAGCAGTACAGGGAACTGGGCAGTGCAAGCAGTTTTAGAAACACTTTCTTGAGCTCTTAAAAAGAGCCAATTATGCAAAGCAAAATAAGCATACTGACAATTCATCTCATCATCACGGACACCACAGAACGTCTTGACTCTGTGGTAGGAAGGTACTCCCCTGCAGAGCTGCTCGTACGCTCAGCCAGAATTCAAGTACTCCAGGGCCACCTCATAGCAGAACTTATACTGATCCTGGAAGAGAAAGTGAGAAGGTCAGCCACATCTAAACTTTGCTTCTGTTAGAGCAATGACAGCAGACGAAGGTTCTTAATTGCAAGACATAGAACTGATAAAGTGTTGAACTAGAAATGAATCAGAAAGTAGCAGTTTTGAATCACAATGTATCTACTGTTGATGCTTCCCTAGATAGAATTCTAGTATCTGCGTGCACTAGCATTCTGGGAAGTCCTGTGTAGCTGAAGATGCTTGGGTTCTGCATGCAGTTTTATTATCAGAAAAAGAATGGCATCTGCACTGAACAAGTAAGGTTTTTTTTTTGCTATTTCCTAAACAATAGGGTACATTAACTCTAAGCATGGCATTTCTAGTCCCTTATTATAAGTCATCTAGAGATTTAAAGTACATGGAAGATGAGTTGGGTATATGCAAACTCTATGCCATTTTATATAAGGGACTGGGACTGTCTGCAAGGAGTCCTGGGACTAAGACCTCATGGATAACAAGAGATGAAGGTTTACTGCCCCATATGTTTTACATGGGTGTTGAAAACAATCTGAGCCTTGTGCAGGAAGATCAAGAGTAGACAGAGATCAGGGGGGCTGGAAGAAATGCCACGTGGCTTGTCCCCAACAGGCTTGTGGATAAAGTTTTTCTCTGACCCTGCAGTCAGTAGGATCTCTTTAATGTCATGAGAACTGATTAAGGTCCTCTTAAGTGTCGTGCACCTTATTATGTCCCCCAATTTGAGAAGTTTGTGATTCAGGGTGAAGGGTGTGACCAGTAACCGGGTATTAGCGCCTAAGAAAGAATTGCTCCCAAACATGGACTGTGGGATCACTGGAGATGAGGACAGAGCTTCTTAGGAAGGTTAGCACATGATGGTTCAAATCTGAAATTTCCTTCACAGGCTTGTTGCAGGGAGGAGCTGCTTGTTTGTCCTGGCAGTGTGGCTAGCTTACACCCAAAATAACCATACAGGAATTGTATTAATTACATCACTGCTTGGCCCATTAGCTCTAGTCTCTTAATTGGTTAATTCTTACATCTTAATTTAACCCATTTCTATTAATCTGTGTATTGCCACATGGCAGTGGCTTACTGGGTAAAATTCCCAGTGTCTGTATCTGGAGGCTCCATGGAGTGTCTCTCTCTCTTTCTCTCCCCCTCTCTGCCCTTCTTTCTCCCAGCATTCAGTTCTGTCTTCCCTGCTTACCTAAGTTTTGCCCTATCAACGGGCCCAAAGCAGTTTCTTTATTAACCACAGGCTAATTCTTGGTCTCTACCTGGCACTGCTTTGGAAGGTTTTGGACACTGGGAAGCAGGGTCTAGGTGGAGGATGCAGCTCACTGGATACAGGTCTTTAAGGGAGATGTCATCACTGCCCACTTCATATCTTGGCTTGGGCTTCCTGATCAACTAAAAGGGAACAGCTTCTGTCACATACTTCTGCCGTTCTGCCATCAGGATTTGAGTGGCTCCACAGTGGCTTCTTTGCCATGATGGACTGAAAACCTATGCAATGTCCCCTTCCTTAAGTTACATCTGTAATCCAGGGCCCTAGGAGGGGAAGGATCTATGGAGCTAGGAAAGGGGACTCAAAGTCTTGGTTTTGTCTGTGCAGTTTTGATTTCTGCCATTGTCTTGCCATTGCTATTACTAGCGTCCTCTTTGACTCTCAGCTGCTCCACTTTAGATGATAAAGAATATATGATCATTTAAAATGGGATTAAAAACAGGTATTCTGGATAAAGACAAAAGGAGAATAAGAAACATATGAGAACGTTTGGTAACTTCTGGGAAGCACATGTCAGTTCTTCAACAGTTTTAGTGGATTTAAAAAATGAAATTTGGTGCATATAGAGTTACAGTCATACCCTCTTAGTAACTGTGAGGTCTTCATTACAGTTGTCTTTAGTCTTTGCTCCATGTACAACTTAGCTAACTACTGCTAGCTTATTGAACCTTAGAGATTCATGTCTCCATCTTTTAACTTTCGGGTGGTGTGTTTATTTGCTGATGAGGTGATATTATTAGATAATCTCAGAATAACTCCGTTTACCCTGTCTGTTTCATTAGTTAGAGAACCAAGTCCATCTACATCCATGGTGACAGTTGATCAGTAAGGATATAATCATCTCGTCTGGTTGATTTTCTTCTAGGAGTTTTAGAGTCTTTTGTTTCTCTTCCTTCTTGTTGATGTGTGTCTCTGAGAGCTGGGGCCACAGGTTTGTGCCACCATAAACTGCCTCTTTAGGTTTTTCCTCTCTTGTTCATCTTTGTGGTTTGATACATATTGTACAGATGTTTGATTCTTTACATTTCTCTTCTGTAGACCTATCCTTATTTTGGGATTCATCTCTTTCATGGTGGTAGTTCCTTATTTCACACCTGGATGTTGAACTAAGAACTACCAAGTATCTTTCGGAAGGCCAGCATGGTGGTCATGCTCCCCCCCTCCCAGTCTGATTTTCTCTGAAGCATTTTATTGCTATTTATGAATGGTAGCATTGCTGGGTACAGGATTCTTGGTTGGCAGTTATTCTCTTTGAAGTCCAGGAATGGATTGTTTTGTGCTTTTGCACTTATTTTTTTTGCAGGATGTAGGAGTGTGGTATGGCAGATGGGTGAAGGACAACATTGAAAGAACTCAGTTCTTTCCTTCTAAGATGTGGGGTTTTGGGAAGAAACCCAGGTCTTCAGCATTGGCAGCAAGTGCCTTTACCTGTTGAGCCAACTCAACAGCCTGGGAGTTATGCTACAATGTTGGCCTTATCACTGCATGGGTGCCACAGTGCAGAAAGCCTCTATAGAGCATCTTTGGCCGGGATGGATCACTTTTGGCTTAGTAGACCAAGGCAGAGGTCAGGGAGACCCACTGTCACTGGTGGCCACATAAGAATAGAGATCCTTTAGTAGTGGACAGCCAGCAGTGGGTATGGGCACTCTATGTGTAGTTGTTACTCCTAGAAGCAGAGTTGCTCCAGTTGGTACGGCATATGTTTCCTCCGACACTGTAGTGACGCGGCATCAGCAACTGCTTCTGGCATTGGCAGCTCCAGTTGGTACAAGAGACCTGAAGCTCTGGTCCTCCAATGTCAGTGGTGCTGGTCCACATGATTGGAGGTGGGGGCAGTGATGGGATCTATGCGGTGCTCACACACAGGACTGACTGCAGCATGTGGAGTGTGGTTGGATGCCTGCCAAGTATCTTATAAGTCTGTCCTCTCTCTGACGACCTGCGACCAGTGTTTCTCTATGTGTTTGATTCTTTAAACCCTTGACCTGGAAACACTATTACTTACCCTTTGCGATGTTCTATTTCTGGTTCACATTCTATGATTGATTATTTTAGCAATGGATGCTTTTATTTTCGGAATGTTTAAAAGAAGCAATTTGGATTTCAGTTCTAAAAGGCTGTATTGTCAGATCACCACACTGACAAATTGGCCACCACGTGCTCCAATCATCTCTCTCATTTCCGTGAATCCTAGCGATGATTTTTTTTATGGAAATGTAATCCCTCATTGCATAAAAATGATTCTTTTCAGATCTAACTGTGCAATTAGTGTCAGTACCTACCACAAATGGTCATTTTTTTTTTTTTTTTAAAAAAAAAAACATATTCAAACACATTTAGTAGGGACTTGTGGCTGCCAGCTTCAGGTCACAAGAAAAGCTGGAGACTCATGAGGGATTTTAGGCTCCTCTGCTAAGGTTCGGTGGACCCAGCAGTGACCAGAGCTGCCCTATCTCAGGATGGCTATAATTTTCAAAATGAGTTCCCCTTCTCCCATCTCACCCATCGTGAGCAAGCTGCCGATTCCGATAGATTCTATGATGACCGGTTTCGGAATCATAAAAGTAAGGGGAAGGAAAAGAAAGGCCACAAATTGCCATGTCCCCTCCTCCGAGCGCCTGGGAAACCCCTCAAATCTCCCTACACTGGACAACCAGGTATAGCCCTGCCTTCTACAGTTTTCTCCCTCAGCTCCCCTGCTTCCGAGTGGTATAATTAAGCCCCATGAGCCGTCCCCATGCTTCGGAGAAAAAAAAAAACTATGCATATAAATACATACACATACACTCACACACATATACCCCTTGGTCCTGAGTTTTTCCAACTCAGACCATAGCTGCTGGCTGCAGGCATGAAGTGCTTGCTCTGGAAGAGAGGTTCAGCCGGGTCCTATCCCCATCAGGGCCACTTGCTGTCCCTTTCTAGACTCTGATTCTGACCGGCAGTGGCTTCTATGAAGAGGGAGAAGTGACTTCTGAAATGGAACCCAAAGCTGAGGTCATTCTTTAAAAGTCCCGGCATGTGGCTGGCTGAGTCTGGGAGTCACTAGGTCAGGGCTCGTGAGGGCAGTTCTGAGGCATCCCATGAAGGGCTGGCACTCTGCCTTTGTCAACACACGTTGCCTGTGCTGGAGGAGCTGGGGGGGGGCACAGTCAGTCTGGGCACACTGAACAGCGCATGCCAACTGCTCAAGGTTCAAAGAGAACAGTCTGCTCACCTTACCTGAAACGAATGCACAGGGAGCTGCAGGGAGCTGCTGCTTTCCCCGTAACCCTGACAGCTTCAAGGCCACTGTCTCTGATTCCAACTAGGCCCAGCTGTCCTTGTTCATTCTGGGAGCCCAGAGCTTACGGATGGTGACAAGGTTGCTTAAATAGATGGTTAAGTTAGAAGCCAGGCTAAAACGGGGTCAGAACAAGTTACTATTTTTAGTGTGTGTGTGTGTGTGTGTGTGTGTGCGCACATGTGCACACGGAAGCCAGCATGTCAGATGTCCTCTTTCTTTCTCTGCCTCATTCCCTGAAACGTGTTCTTTTGGCTATGCTGGAAGCTAGCAAGTCCCAGTGATTGTCCCGTCTCTGTCTCATGCAGTGCAGCGGTTACAGGCGCTTCTGAGGCCCTGCCTGTGTTACAGGCGCAGGGACCTGAACTCAGGCCTTCACTCTTACGCAGCCAGTGCGCTCAACCATCGAACCATGTCTTCAGCCCTTGTATTCTAATTTAATGTTCTCCCGAGCAGTCTGTTGTCTTTCCCCCTAAACCCTAAACTGACAATGTGAGGAGATCGGTGTCTAGGGTATTCTAGGTTTCCCTGAGAGTGCCAGGCTTTAAAATGTATAAACTCTCAAAGTCTGAGGCAATTTACTGATATCAGAACCACAAAAGGGGAAGGAAAGAGACAGGGAGGATCCCTATGTATTCCTCCCATGCAGGCGGGAAGGGTACAGTTGCAACATTTGGGGGTTCCAGAGGAGGGGGCCATTGTGGGTATCCTCCTGCCTCTGAGCTATGTGAAGAGACTCAGTGGGGTTCAGGTATTGGTTTCCCACTCCATCCACCCTGTGTCCCGGCTGATCAGTTCAGAGGCGTGCCCTAGCCTTTCTGGAACATACTCCTTCAGCTATGCAGCTCACATCGCCCGTACCCTTCCCAATGTCTAGCCCCAAGTTTTTTCACTCAGATCTCAGATCACCTGCTAGACATAGAACAGCCATACCAGGCTTTATTGTGCTGACCCGAGCTAATTAATTCCTTCAGCCAACGTCTCTGAATTCTAAAACAGAAAGATATTGTGCTTCAGGGACGGAAAAAAAAAAAAAAACAAACCGCGTATAAGAGCTCTTCCTTTGGCACAGAAGCTTAGAAACCAGACAAAAAGAACGTTGTGACATTTTTCCTCTGGTCACCAGCTATTATCTCGCAAACAGTCACCCCGACAGATTGGCAGATGGCTTTCTTTGGAAAGCTCACAACTTCCCTTCATTTCTTTGTCATCGACCTGCTCAGAATTTCAGGGCTGACCTTCAGAGTGCCGGGCTTCCGGGGACCCTGTCTTCGCCACTGGAATTATCCACGACTGTACAGGATTCAGTGAGGAAGGAATGGCTTCCTAAACTGCACGGCACAGCAGGGAGCCGTGGTTGACAACAGGTTAAATATTTCCAAACAGTCGACAGGGAGGATTTGGAAAGTTCCCAGCACAAAGGAAAAAAAAAAAAACCTGCCTGCAGCTATAGATACACCAGTTACTGTGCCCTGATCATGATCCATTTCACACCTGTATTGAAATGTCACACGGCACCCCATAAACACGCTGAGTTACTGTAAGCCAGTGAAATTAATTTTTAAGAAGACGTTCCTTTGTAACAACCCAAACTCCAATACCGTTATAGGATTGTCTGCAGTGCAGGCTCCCTCTGGCCAGCCACCCGAGTCTGCATTCATCTCATGAGGAATTGCCCTGGCCTGTAATCTCAACCGCTGACTTGAAAAAGCCTGGCTCAATCGGACCATAAAAGCTCTAGAGTGATGAACGCTTCCATAGAGCCAATACAGGAAGGCCTGGAAGGGGGGGGGACTTCTAATGCTTCGCCTAATTCAGGCTCAGTGAGGGAACTGACTTTTTTTTTTTCATCGTGGGCAGTTCTGCCCACATACTAACCAAAGTCTGGAAGCTTCATCCATCCCCGAGGGTAAGTGTGGCATCTGTGCTCTCCTTCCCTGTCCCAACTCAGGTTACCAGTGACTGGGGCTGCTCTCCGTTCAGTCCAGAAGGGTGAAGCCTCTAACACTCATGTGACAATTCTTAGCTGGTTCTCGGGAATTCTGCGCACAAGCATACCTTAGACCCCACGTGCATGAAGCCTGTTACCATCTGAAGTACAACAGGAGCCAGGCCTGGTGCATGCTAAATGTCACATTAACAGGGCTGCCAGACTCCTTCCCTAACACTGAGATATGACCACGTCCCCGGGCCACAAAGGCATCATCACGCCCAGTGGACAGTTACACACTCAACTGCCACTCTTATTTGCGATGCCCCAAACAAAGTCACAGGTCTTTTCGTGTTGTGTGGCCTCAAAAAGGCTACTACTACCCCTGATTTACGAAAGGAAAACTCAAGGATACTAACACTACAAGGCTCATGGGTTTGAGGGTCTCTATTTGAGTTCACAGCACCGTTGAGACTCTATTTGCATTTCTTTGGTTTTCCTGTGGGGCAGGAAAGAAGAGGCAGGCATTTGAGGAAACAGGATTCTTCTTGTCAGAGCTGACACAATGGCCCACAGGTTCGAGGGCATGTACCCAGCTAAACCGCCCTTCTACAAGAGTCTGTGGATAACATCGTGCTCCCTAGGTGTGGAATACAAGCACCAGCCAGTGTCTAGACAGCAGGTGCTGCTGGGCAGAGGATTTTGCTATGCCCAGCAGCTGACTGCAGGAAGTCATACTACTTCCTCACCCTGGGTACTGCTGTAGTGACCCCTGGCTACTTTCTCAAGTTGAGTTCAACTCTTGACCCCCTTTTGCCTTTGGGACTCTGCACTCCTGCAGAACCGGGGGCCTTGGAAGGCAGCGTAGCTCGCCTCTTCCTCCTTCCTCTCTGCTTCACGAGTAACTGTTGAGACCTTTCTCTGGTTCCCTTCAGCTCACTCAGACAAAGACCTACAGAGCCCGAGAGAGAAGCTTCTTCCATGAAGCTACCCTTCTGTTCTTGAGTGCCTGGCACTCTATCAGTTCCACATTTAAAAAGGAAGAAAAAGAAGGCATTTTGTGGAACACCCTAAGAAAATAATTGCCCCTAGTGCTTTGTTTCTCGACCCCTTTAATCCTTCTCTCAGATGTGGCCACCATAATTAAATGCAATATCCCGTATGTCAAACCGAAATTCACAGCTTTGATAAATATTAGGCGATTAAGCTATTTATAAAAATCTGTAATTTGAAAATCTGGCATTTCTCGTACTGTGACTATTTCTTCTCCAAGAAGACTTAACTGTTTAGCCATGTGGAAGGCGCTGCCAGGAAGGGAAAGAAAGAATGTTCACTTGTAAGTCTCAGCTATTTCTACATTTCAACCAAGCCGAGGGAGTCTCCTCTATAAGACTGGAAAGGAGGCAGGAGAGAAAGAGAGGAAAGTCCCCTGAGCCAAGCCATGTGTGATGCTTTGGAAAAGAATGTCCTGTCAGATGGAGCATCGCCATGTGGGAGCTGTTGAGGGGTCCCACGCAACTCTGAGACACCCTGCGGGGCAGGGCAGAAGGCATCCTACCAGGAGGTACCCTATGGGGCAGGGAAGAGGGGCATCCTACCAGGAGGTCCACCATGTTGGGCTTGTTGTTCCTCAGCGTCTTCACGGCATGGAAGACATCCACGGTTCTCTGGTGTCGGAGCATCTCGCAGACAATGCTGATGGCGCAGAATGAGCCACTGCGCCCCCCTCCATTCCTGTCAGAGAAGAAATCGGATAGATGGTCAGATGGGGTTTGCTGTCAGAGCACTTTCCATAGTGTGCTGTGTCTGTGGAGATATGTTGTCTAACCCCCGGAGAAAGGTCAGAAGGAAGGTGCACAGGCAACAAGCCCGCTTAGCATGTGGCCCGCAATTTATCCTAGCCTCATCCTGGCCAGATGATGATTTCTGATATGGTACCTTACTGATTTTCTTTCCAAGATAAGGTTTCTCTATATAGCCCTGGTCATCCTGGCTATGTAGACCACAGTGGCCTCAAACTCTCAGAGATAAGCCTGCTTCTCCCTCCAGAGTGCTGGGATTAAAGGTGTGAGCCACCACTGCCTAGCTCCTTACTGATTTTTATACAAAGGGCCCAATATGGAAAAATTTCAGTGAGTAGCAGTCCCCTCGTTTGAAATCTGCCAGATTTCAGATAATGTCATTATTAAACTAGTGACATATAAAAATAATGCCATTAGAAACTAATGACAAGTGGGGATATATACAAATATCCGGGTCTTGAAGGTACTAGGATCTCTCTTATCTCCCAAACACGAAAGCTCTCTAAAATGTTTTTTGAAAGCAATTTTAAATATATGGGGACATTGCAAATATAGACAGAGTTCCCTGCCCAGCCTGTGGTGGGCATTTACAACCGCTGCACACCGTGCATCACAGTCAGGGGGTAAGAGCGCTACCACACTGTGGCTGAACTACAGCCCTCCGTCACATTTTACCAGTCTCTGCATTACGGTCCCTTCGTGGTCCGGGATCTACTCTGGCATTTGTGGTCGTCATCTCATATCTCTTTACCCTTCTCCAGTCTGTGACAGTTTACCTGTTTATCAGCTTTCCCTTGCCTTTCTTGATAGGCTACTTCTGACGAGTCCTGGCGGGCTGCTTTGTGGAATACAGAATTCAGAATGTAGAAAGGAGGTGTAGATAAGACCCATGTGCCCCGGCCACAATTGGAAAAGGCCAAGACTAAGTCCCACAGCGAACCGGCCTTTCATCTGGGTTCCTTTGGTATATCTTTGTCACTGGCTAAGAAACCTAGAGGAAGAAGAGCCTTACACCCTCTAAGGGACTCACGTGTTGATGTCTCAGACGCAGGGAAGTTCATCTTGTCCACTAGAGGGTGCTGGTGAGGATTTTCCCTGTCAAGGTATCTTTTTGTGGTTAATATGCATCCCGGGGTAAGACACTTTGGGACTCTGCAAATATACTGATTCTCTTCAGTTCCCACTGATTTTCATACACAATGGCAGATCTTGCTTTCAGCAATTAATTATGACTGTCTTATTTATCTATCGTTGACCTTATATTTTCTTCCCTAGTTCAACATTCTATCACAGGAAATAGCTCTCTCTCGCACCATTTGAAAATGTATTTGTTTTCATTATTTAAAGTCAACCTAGGCAGACGCTGAAAGTTTTATTACATGTGCTAAAAACCTATCAGTAATTACCTTTGCCTCCCAATTTTTCCACCTCTAGCCATGAAGAGTCCCAAGTTTGTGTGGCAAACGCTTGCCCCTTTTTTGAGTATATTTGTATTTTCTAGAATGTTCACCTTGTACTTTCCATGCATTAGCTTCTATTATAAGGAGGTAAATCACCTTTCATTTATTCTGAAATATGATAATATGACGATGCCATCGCTCTGAAAAGAACGTTACTTTGTGAAAAGCCTTTGTCGGGGCAGTGGTATGACACAGAGTGCACGAGGCCGGGAGCGGGCAAGTCTGTGGGGTAGATCTGCTTCTTCCATCCTTATCTGAGCTCAGGGGGTGAATGCTGTCCACCAGGCTTGCCCAGCAAGCGCCCTGACCCAATGAACCACCACACTGATTACCACCTACTGGTTTAATAGCGAGTATCTAACCAGTGTTCCAGCTTCCTAGATGTTATCTTCCGGTGACTTAAAAAAAAAAAACCCTACATCTAAGCAAAGTATGCCTATTGCATTTGGTGGTGTTGGATAACTTTACAGCTATTGACAGGTTTCTCTTAGTCCTCAGACTTGTATGGAAAAGAGAGCAGCTTGTCTTGTGGAGAGTCCTCCGTTCTGGATTTTCTCATCCCTTGCACCTCTCTAATATGATTTAATATATCATCTTTGACCCATATGTATCCTATAAATGGGTGGCTGGCAGCAGAGCTTCTAAAGGACCCTAGATGGAGGAATGGTCAATTCAATGTTGTCATTCATAAAAATGATTCTTCCTCTAATAAGCAAGCATAAGACATCTGGTTGTCCTTTGTTTTGCTATTTTAAGATTGATTTAGTTTCAGTGAAGACAGTCATGACTGTCGGCTCATTCAGTCTGTTGTAACATTCTAAACCTTCTATTTTTATTTTGTTTCATTTTTGGCTTTTCGAGACAGGGTTTCGCTGTAGCTTTGGAGCCTGGCCTGGAACTAGCTCTTATAGACCAGGCTGGCCTCGAACTCACTCTGCTTCCCGAGTGCTGGGATTAAAGGCATGCGCCACCACTCAGCTAAATACTCTCTTTAGAGAAAGAGTAACATGGCCACAATGAAGTCCAAGAATGATAAGTAAATATTGGCATTAAGTTTTGCAGATGTACACACCACAGTGGCTTATCAGAGCCTGGTCAGCCCCGTGGCTTCCTTCCTCAGGCCACCATGCCCTTGCCAGTTTTACAGTGTAACCAACTCTTGGAATCTTTGTTTCATGTCTTTAAAAATGTAGCCATTCTTAGGGGCAATAAGTGGTTTTAATGAGTATTTTCCTAAACACTAAAATCACCTAATGATGTAGATTATCACTGTTTAGTTTTTTTTTTATCTCTCTCCAGTGTTGGGGATCAAATTCAGGGCTTTGTATGTACTAGACAAAGGTTCCACCACAGAGCTACATGCCATGCTTTCCTTTCTAAAGTGTGATGCCTTTCCAACTTTTTTCCGTTAAAAACTAAGGGGTTAGATATCTTGTTTCAACCATTTGCTGTATTTGTAGACATGCCGGCTCTGGAACCTTGGCCAGATAGATGTATTCAGGGCCCCCCATCATATCCTGCTTTTCCTCATCATCTGCTCATATTGTAAACGGAGTATCTCTCTCAATGAAATTCAACGCATCACCACATTGTCTTGGTGGCCAGCATCCTGTGTCCTCTCTAAATCAGTCCTTGCTACCCTCCTGTTCATGAGGAGTTTCTCCCATGTGTTCTCATGGAAGCTCTTCTGTCTGCTTGCGACATTTGGGGGTGATTCGTCTGAAGGGATTTCAGTGCACTTGCGAGGAGACAGGCCGATGTGCCCAGTTTCCCTACGGCCCTGCAGTCACAGGCTGCAGTCAGGTAGTACAGGGGCACGGCTTTGCCTTCTGCTCTGTTCCTTGCACGGATGTTCCACTGTCCTGGATCGCTGGCTCTTCACCTCATCTTTCAGCATCTGCTCATGACCCCTGCCCACATCCACTCTTTCTATAGTTTCAGAACGAGGCCATATTCTCGTTTTAAAAACATAAGAGAATTCTGTTTCCACACCCTCCCCTAAGTATCTGGAGGGTGCTCATGAAGGTGTACTCTGCCCTCAGCCAATAGGTGGCGCTGCACCATGCTAAATATCTCACCTAGGACCCTTTAGACTGTTTCTAAAGCTTTCTTTTTCTGACCAATATTGGAAGATATCAGTTTAAACTTTCTTGTAGGCTTAAAACACACACACACACACACACACACACACACACACACACAANTCAGCCAATAGGTGGCGCTGCACCATGCTAAATATCTCACCTAGGACCCTTTAGACTGTTTCTAAAGCTTTCTTTTTCTGACCAATATTGGAAGACATCAGTTTAAACTTTCTTGTAGGCTTAAAAAACACACACACAACAACAACAAACCCCCCCCCCCCCCCCAAGAAAAACCCTTAGATTAAGTTTATAAATTAAAAAAAAATCAAACCTTCTCTACAGGCCTGAGTTCACACCCAACATTAGCAAGAGGCAGCTCCACAGAGATTATGGGACTGAGGAGAGCTTGTAGCTAACAGAAGGTAAGAAAGGGATGACAGGCAGGCAGGGGAGAAAAAACTTGAGCCACCACTGTCTGTGATAGTCAAACAGCCCGCTGCTAGAGACACTACATGGACAGTGACGTAATTGCTTAGTTCAAGGGCCACAGCTGCCTTTAGGAAGAAGAAGGCCGCATACAATGTGCAGTGACTGAACAGGTCTTTGCGCCGGTCTCTCAAATCCTTCCCTTTCAGCTGTCTCAGGTAGTGACCTATTCCTGAGGGCTCAGGGATTGATTGGCTCACGGCAGAAAGTAGTTCAGGGTCAAAACAAGCTATGCTTCCAGATACGACGGACGCAGGCTCTTCCAGATTCCGGAGGGCTAATTGAAAACGACTTTTAATACTGAAAATAGAAACAACCGGTCTGGGACTGTAGCTTGGTAGGAGAGCAGCTGCCTAGCATCCTCAAGGCTCTGGGTTCCATCTCCAGGACTTCAAAACAAAACAAAAAGAACCCCATGCAAACCAAAATCGAACAGATCCAAAACCAGCCAATTAAAGCGCCAACTTTCCTATTGGGATTATTTTTAGTTTAGCTCTTTTATTTCTTTTTTGTAAATTAATCTATGAATTTATGTGCAGTGGGCTCCAGCAGCTCAGGCCACTTCCTGTCAGTACTCGCCGGTGTGCTGTGTGGGGTGACAGGCTGGAGCCCAGGTGCTTTCCTCTCTGCCTTCCCTCCCCCCCCTTTTTTTGTGGATTTTTCAAGACAGGGTTTCTCTGTAGCTTTTTTTTTTTGTTGTTTTGTTTTGTTCCTGTCCTGGAACTAGCTCTTGTAGACCAGGCTGGCCTCGAACTCACAGAGATCCGCCTGCCTCTGCCTCCCGAGTGCTGGGATTAAAGGCGTGCGCCACCACCGCCCGGCTTTCTGCCTTCCCTTTTTTCTGGTTGTTTTCCTTCCTTCCTTTCAGGAAACCTTGGTTTGTAGAGCATTTGCTGTACTCACTCCACACATCTATTGGCAAGGGTCTTGTCTTAACCTATTGGCTTACCAAATGATGCCTACAGCACGCTGAACCATGTTGTACACTCTTCTGTTGTGCCATGGCAACACTTAGGGGGCATGGTGCCCATTCCATTGGTGTCTACTGTATCATCCTTCTTGTAGATTGGCGCATGCATTCACCCCTCCCCCAAAGCCCAACTCCGTGTGTTTCCTGAAAAGCCCTATAAACACACAGTGGGCGCCTCTCTCTTTAGTTTTGTATTATCATTTTGGCAAGTTACTGGAAGATTGCTGCCTTGACTAGGAAAAAAAAAAAGCCCTGTTGGGATCTCATCAGCACAGTATGGTGAGCTTCTCCTCTTGTTCTGAGAAATAAGAAGGGGAGAGGATAGAAACTTCCTCAAGCACTGAGTCTAAGGACAGGAACGGAGTTTAGAACACGGAGACGCGCCAGTACACTGCTCTACACAAGCTAGAATAGGGGGACTTAAGGCGCAAGACAGCTCTGAGTAGGTTCCGAAAGACTCTCTCCAACGGAATACATTTCCTGAAGTGCGATGAGGGTCTGGGAAGAACTCAGGGGTTCCACCACATGAGGTAAGCGCAGGGAGCCTGGCGTAGCCTGGCCCCTCAACCCAGTTGCCACTGAAACCTGGGGTGGTCAGCTCAGAGGAAATGTTCATTGTCCTTCAATTTGGGAAGGGTCTTATCATCTGCTTCACGTGATGTTTCTCTGAAAAGCAACTCCTTTTTGAACTCCCACAAGCCCCGTGAGCAGCTTCCTTGACCGCCATGCCGTTTAATCACCTCTTCCACTAAGCCACGCTGGACCGTGAGCTGCACGTCACTGCCGTGGCTCGCAACACTGGCCACACATGGGAATCATGCAGGGGTTTTCAATAGCGCAGATGCCAGGGTTCCATGCCGAGACTGGGGTTTGATTGGTGCCTGTGTGGCCCGAGGGAAGAACTTGCTGAAGTCCCCCCAGTGACTGCCAAAGCACAGGAAGTATCTTTACATTTTATCCAGATATCACCCTTCAGAGGACACTGGTTCTGTGCTTGTCAACTTTCCGTCCCGGGAACAAAATGCTAGTTTGGCCCACGGTTGTGGAGTTCCCGCTCCATGGCTGGCCGGCCCCATGGCTTTGGGGCTGTGATGAAGCAGCGCACCACTGGGGTAGAGATGTGACAAAGGAAGGCTGTCCCCTCATGACCAGAGAGAGGCAAAAAGGAAGAGCCCAGAGTCCCAAAATTTCATTTGAGACATGTCTGCAGTGATCCATACCTCATTGTATGCCATAATGCTTCCTCACAGTACACACAGAGATCAAGCCCTTACCGAGGGAGTCTTTATGGGATTTTCCAGACGAAGCTATGGCAGACCTAATCAGATCCTGACAGTATGCCTATTTATAAAAAATATCTCTTGAAAAAGGGATTAGGAAAAAAAAGTTTTGTTTTGTCTTTTTTTTTTTTTTTTAAAGTTCCCCCGTGGTATCCAGTAGAACCATCAATTACTGCAACGAGATGATCCAGCCATCTGGGAGAAATCCCTGGTTATGCCATTCATTGATTTCTCCTAGTAGGGATGATTTCAAGTTACCTACAGTTTAACAACCACTACTGAAAATTCCTGAGGATGTTAAGAGCAGGCTCGTGAACTAGGAATTGTCTAGGAATTGAAACCATCCCCGTGTTTTCCTCTCCTCTGGGGTGGGGGTTGATCCCACTTACAGGGTATATATATTTTGATCACATGACCGACTTCCTGTAGTTTGTATGTGCTTTCCAACCAAGTTCCTGTGTTGGGAACTTACTCTCCAAAGACATTAATGACATTGGAAGCCTTTGGGAGGTTCTCTGGCTCAGACAGAGGGTCTCAATGGTGGTATTAGCGGGTTTATAAGAGGAGAGTGACCAGTGTTAGCACACTTGTTCTGTCTTGTCATATGCTGTCCTCTGCTGCGTTGTGACCCTCACCAGATGCCATGACTGGACCCTTGGACTTACCAGTTTCCAAAATGGAGAGCTAAACCAAAATCTGGGGTTTATAAACCTCCTCGTCTCCTCTATCTTGTTAGAGAAACATAAAGCTACGGCACCCGAGTACGCAATATGTTGTTGTTTCTAGAAAGCCGACTGATTGTTCAGTAAGAGTGCTGGTCGCCCCTCTGTCCCAGAGCATTATGGGAGGAGGAAGGTGAACTGAGTCGCTGGGTGGGGTCTCCCCCCCCCCCCCCAAAGAGCTCTGTGGAATACTTACAAGCAATGTACGACTGTGCGGCCTTCCCCGCCGTTGTATTCCTCCTGCCACTTGTCTACTTGACGGATGAGCTTCAGGAAGGAGCGCTTGGACACGGGCGTGTCCCTGTACATCGGCCAGCCCAGGAACTGGAACTGCTGAACCATCCGATGCCCATCCTGGGGCTGCGGAGTGAGAGGCGCCAGTCAGGGAGGGGAGGGAACAGCATCTTTTTCTTTACCTTACGGATTCCGGGGGCCCTGGTTCCTCCCACATGATCTTCCCATCGGGGTTCAGTATTATCCAGGAGTCTCAAGCCAGTAGATAACAAGGGGTGATTCTGCGGGCCTGGAGAGTTAAGACCTTAAGCTCTTGTGGTTATAAAGAGCCAGGTGTTTTAAGTGACAGGCCAGAGATAAACAGGAGTGGAGCAGAACGCTTACATTTTGCAAAAGCCGAGAGAAAAATAACAAAGGACTGACCACGTTGGTGTTTTGTGTGGACAAGTGGCTTCACTTTAGCTGCAAGTATTTAAGAGGACGGGATAGCCTGTAACCTAGAAATGCTTGTGAGTCCGATGTGATGCAGTTTATACCCTGGTTTCTCTAGAATACGGCTTTGCTTAATGTTCAGGCTTCTGCTTCGCTGCCAATATTTAATTAATCACCACGTATAATTAAACAGGATTGCGGAATTCAGATTATGTATTGCTGGCCTCAGTGTTCGGAGGAGCCGCTTGGCACTTGGTGGCACCCGACATAGGTGGGCCTCTCAGCAAGCTTTCCTTGCCAGCTGTTTCGCCTCCTCTGCCTCAGCCTCCCCTCTTCCCAGACCTGTGGCTGACAGATGCCTCTGGACTCCGTTTTGGGGTTCCGTTTTCTCCCCTAATCTCACTGTTTGGTTACAGTCACTGTCATGACTTCGGGTATCACAAGTCAGTCACCGTTTAGACCTCTCTACTGAATGTCACCCTCCTGTACTCAAAAGCCAAGCTCGGGGCTTACACAGTCATCCCAAACCTACTGTGTCCCGAATTGGACCTCAGCTCAGCTCCTTGCCCCAGACGATCTGTTTTTTCCTCAGGCAAAACCAATTCCAGTTAATGACAACCACACCACTTCCTTCTTAGGATCCACATCTTGAGAGTCACCTTGACTCTCTGGGACCCTGCTGCTCCGGCCTCCGGATCTAGCCATCTCTCTACCACTTACTACCTCTAACTGCCACCACTCCTGCCCTACCACTGCCATTCGTCACCTGGTCCTTCCGTCCATCTGTCAAGGCAGAGGCAGATGTGAATCAATCTGGTGAAGCAGTTCTTCTGAAAACCCTGTCGTGGCTCAACGGCTCCTCATTTGCTTCCCAGCGAGAGTCTGCTAGCGGTGGTGGGCAAGGCCCTGCCAGTCCTGAGCGCTCTTCCTCAGTGCCTCCTGCCTTAGCTTACTGTTCTCCAGCTCCACCATAGAGCCCTTGTGTGGCCACTTCTGCTTGAGAGCTGTCTTCCTAGAGAGGTCACGCCTCCTCCCTTCCTTCCTCAGAGTCGGCTCACATGGGATGCCCACTGAAAACGGGGACTGTGACAGCCCCGGGACATGACCTCACACTTTTGTTCCTTTAGCATGTATCACTGTCTAGCACCCCGTGACTCTATCTGCTATACCTTTTATCTGCTGTCTTCATTTCAGTCGGGACTCTCTCTCCTTTGTAAAGCTCACTTTTTGCCACCTATACTATGTCAGTTTAGCAAGATCCTCCCCTCCAGTGAGCGACCACTTCATACCTGATCAGGTTCTTCAGACTCCCCCGTACCCTAATGATGCCAGCTCTCTCTGGCCCATCCTCAGCAAGAATCTCCTTGTCTTGGTTTTTCATCTGCTGACCCCTGCCGGTCCTAGGCTAGACTCTCGTCTTTCCTGGCTTGGATTCAGGTAGCATCTGCCACAATGGTTCATGTCTATAGAACTGAACATTGAACAAAGTCTTTCTTATTGTGCCTGAACATGTTAGTAACTCTCTCTTTAACTAGCTTCCCGTTAGCGTACGGGTCCCATCAGGCAAGGGATCTCTTTTGTTGACTGAGACCTTCCAATCCCTTAGGACAGAGCCTGAGAGAGAGCAGACATGTCAACATTCCATAAGACAATAGCAAAACCCCAGTTCAAGCACCCTGGGTCCCACCCCTGCTCTTACTCTGGAGGCGTTGTAAATCCTGAAGATCCTACTGATGCTGTCTTCCTCCAAGTCCGCAGACACAAATTCCACCTGGATGGGGCCATGTCTGTGCACTCCATTTTCTGGCCAGTACTGTGGACACAACTGAACCCCAAAAACCAGAGAGACAAGTGTGGTGACTGGACAAAGTCAGCATCGACATAATCCTTTCAACTTCAGTTCCTTTTCTTCCTAAAAGGCTCAGACACCAGGACCCTCATGGTGGCTGTGTCCTCAACTCCACTTCTTCTCATCCTCTGGCAGATTTCTCAAAAAACATATGTTAGCCAGGGATAAGATTCAGAACTGGCAACCGTGCAGGCCTGGATTGCCATAGTTTTTTTTTAAACAAACTGATATTCCACAGGATCCATGGGTTGGACTTGCTTTTTTGTTGACTTATTACTTTTGAAATGGTCCAAGATACCACGGTCTCGTGTTGCAAGGGTTGATTTATACAATCAAGATTGCAAAGTAAATTCTGTTAATAGCGAGTCAACTGAGATAACATCCTCTCTTTTCTCCCTCTCTATCCATGATAAAGAGCAAGAGAGAAAACAGGATAACCAAGACTACTCGGGTCCATTGGATTTAGAAACTAATTTTTAAATAATGTTTCCGTGGGATTTTTTTCTTCCTCAGCAGCATTCCCCGGTGACAAGTTATTAAACCACCTTGTCAAACAATAGCGTTCAGATGTCGGTTTCCCTTTTGACACCCAAGGGCGCCCACTGTTAAGATTGAAAGGCATGATGTCAGAAAGCCGAGATGGCAGGAAAAGCCGTAACAACCACATTTGAACAGCTCTGCCCATTTCTCTGCGGACAGGGCTGGCTTTGCTCTCTGCTTATTTTGGAAGTTCAAGAGCCTGACCAAATGCTTGTCATTTACACCGCAGAAATACGAATGGCCCAGGCTGGCATCTGGCTCCTGGCACACACTGTGTCCTACATTCTGCCCAAGGAAACCATGTAGAAAATGGCTTAAATGGCGCAGAACACATCCATGAGCTGATCCGATAAATACTTAAAGCAGTCTCGTGGCAGTCTTGTAGAATAGCGAAGCCTCCGAGTTCCAACGCTCAGTTTAGCATTTGCTAAAAGACAGAGTCCCAGGAGCCCCCCCCCCCGCCCCTCCCCTCCCCCACGCACATCAGCTCTGTCTGCTGAATAGAATGGGAATCTTTTTGTCTCCCTGACTGCCAGTCAGCCAAGGCTTGGTTGGAGTCCAGACAGTTGGAGTTTAGAATGCGGCTTCAGCATTCAGATGCTGTGTTCATAGACACCACCAGCATGGCTGACCGTGGTGAAGGTGACCCAATGTACCTTCACGGTAGGGACAAGGCAAACTGACTCTACCCAAGGAACACATCCTGTACCCAGTGCCTGGCTCTTAAATTTGTGAAATCTAACTGCTGCCTGGAGTTAGAAGGACCAGTTCTGGGTTCTATTGGACTGGGTGTGCTTTCGTAAACAGTGACAATCTGTTGGGAGGGCAGGGAGGCGGGAGAAGTCTAGAACACTGAAGCTAAGCCAAAAGGAGTGGACAGGAACAAGGACTCTCATTGTTTCTCCTCCAGCTAGCTTCTGAGCGAGAGCCTGAACCGTATACCGCAGGGTTGCCACCTGGAAACCCCTAGCTGCGTACAGAAGCATTAATGGCAACAGAATGGATTTCGGGAAAGAAGCATCTTCTGTTTAGATGCTCAAACAGTCCAGGAGCCCCCAGCACTCCTGCTCTATTTAAAAATAAAAATTCTCAACTGGATAGGAAATTAATTAATTCCCAGACAAGTTTACTCGTAATACACACCAAGCTCCAAGTGTCCCTCGCGCCCTCTGTCATGTGGTGACTTATGTGAAGAGAGTGGATTCCGCTCCCAAAGGGTCTTCTCGGAGCTAAGACTCTCCTGACAGCTCCCTCCAAGAACATTCTGCGACCCTGCTTGCCGTGGCTTTCTGCCTCACCCCTGTGAGGGGCTCCGCTGAGCGTTCTGAGCTCATAGCCTGTTTGTTTCTCTTGCTATCTTTACAGAGCATCGACAAAGTGCAAAGCTATTCTTTAAGCCCGCTTGCCCATCTCTACTGTCCTGCCATCCTAAGGTCCCGTCTTGCAGATCTAGAAGAGCAGACCTAGAAGCACAGATGCCCAAGCAGGAGACCAAGGACAGTCTCCACTAGTTGGCTGGCTCTGAGTTGTGTGGTCCCAGTTTGGTTTGAACTGTCTGTGCCCTTGAAGCAGCCAGTGGAATTTTATTTATATATTTATTCCTGCCTTTTCTTTTCCCACTCTCTGCATCTGTGCCTTTTTAGTCTGCCTGTCTTGTTGGTTTTCACCGGCTTTCTTTTGTAGCCTCTGATTCTCATTTGGTACCCTTGTGTTTTCATATCCTTCAACAGCCCTGTGAACACTTGCTGAGGGGCTTGTCCATCTCATCCCAACAAAGCATACACGGACTTGACCCCGTGACCTGGGCTCTACCTAGAGGAAGCCCAGGACTCACCTGGGCAGGATCCACATCGTTGAGCATGACGACCGACGTGCAGTGATAATCCAAGACCAGCCGCCAGAAGTCTTTGACAGTGTTTGGCAAAGGATGCTGGGTGACTATAAATGCCGACGGCTGCTTATAGCTCTGTAAACAGAAACAAGAAAGATCCAGATACATCCAGCTCAACAAGAGGGAAGGCGGCAGAGTTATTTTGTGCACATGGAGAGGTATGGAACAAAACACTGAACATATATTAATGATTGTTGAATTCTATCACCATTGTCCACACCAAAATGAAATAAAAATAAATGTCCCATGAAACTATGGTGAAATACCCTCACTTTAATGCCATGGGAACTTCATAGTCATTTCTTCACATTTTCATTTAATATTTCTGACGGGCCATATTGGTTCTTCATATTAAAAACTTTAGTGGAGAAAGTTTCCGTTTACTTTAAAAACCAAGTTCAATGAAAGTAGTTCTGATTTTTCCAAAGCCTGTTTGCTTGTCATGAATCTGGGCGACAGTGTTACTTATCCCTGCCATAAAAGATGTGCAGGCTTTTGTCGGCGCCAGGAGTTTGAAACAAGCTCAAGCCCCCTTTACGGTGTCACCCCAACAGAATTAAACTTCCACACTAGCACTGAAAATGCCCATTTGCTCTCTTGTCAGCTGAACAGCAAGAAGCAAACAGACCGGCAGGAGGCAATGAGTTGTGCTTTCTTCCCATGTTAACTGCGGCCTGAATTAGGAAGAAGGGGAACAAAACAAAGCTGTCAATCACCATAGCCCCTCTCCCTGCCAAAGGACAGAAGAGCTGCCTCTTGCTCTACTGGCCAGCAGGCTAACACCCTGACAGCGTAGCTTAGGTGGGGCTTCAGTTCTGAGTGCTTGAGCAGGAGGAACCTCTGCCTCACACCGAGCCACACCTGGAATGCGAGATCTATTCCTGTAGTTGTTGGAAAAAAAAAATAGCTGGCCTTTTAAAAGGTCAGAGGGCTCCGCCTCAAGGACACACATATTCTGTCTGTCCCTCCGGAAGGGCTTACGTCCATCAGGGCTGCGTTGATGTAGTTGCTGCTCTCGCCGTCGATGGTGATGAGGAAGGGCAGGCAGCGGTCCGGAGGCAGGATGTCCATGCAGCGGTTTTTCTCGTGGTTCCGGGGCAGGAGCGCGATGCTGCAGTCCTCCACTCGCAGGGTGGGAGTCACCATGTTGAGAGTCTGTAGGATGAATGGGAGGGGCGGGACATGCAGCTCCAGTCAGCTCACCCAGGGTGGCTGATTCCATGCTTCCTTATGACTCGACGGTAGGAATACATGTATGAAAACACGGCATTGCACCCCATAAACATGTGCAGCTACAATGTGCCAACTGAGAAAATGAGACACAATTGAGAAACTCCTGAGGGAGTGTGGGGGTTGATAAAATGTTCTAGGAAGGCTGTATGGGTAAACTAATTCCTTTAAAAAGACGAACGAGGCAGGAGGAAGGCTTGGTCTCATGCTCAGCTGCCTGCAAGCTAGTCACCCCCCCCCCACACCTTGAATTCTACCAGCTCCATCTCTCTTTCCTCCTTGGGTTTTGTCTCCATACATGGCCTATCAGCCATAGGAGGCAGAGGCAGAGGCGAGTGACCTTGTACATCCATAGCATACAGCATCGTCCACTCTAACTAGAGCGGGGCAACTGAAGATCTGGGAGGCAAGAAATTGGGAGAGAGCTGGCCGGCCTCAAGTTAGGTACAGGTAGATAAAACCTGGATCTGACTTTTACCTGAATGAAGACCTAGGTACACTGAGCATCCTTAAAGACGATTCCCATAGACGGATTGTACCCACGCTTAGCTACACTATAAACCAGGTGTCCTGGATCTCAGAACCAGTTGCTGGTTACTTGAAATGCAAATGGCTCTGCCAGACTAATGACTCGAAGCCAAGTAATTCTAGCCCTGAGGGTGTTCAGCCTGGTGCTGCTACAGATATTTAGGGAGCGGAGCCCAGGAGTGCAGTTAAACACGCTACCAGACAGCACCGCAGGAAAGTCCCAGCCCCCAGTGCCACCAGTCCTGAAGTGCAGAAGAGAGTCTCCCTAAAGAGGACGGCCTCCCAGCCCCTCCCACTTGGATTCGCCACTTACCCGGAATTCCTCTTTAATTTGGCTTGAGTTTGTCTGTGGGTCCAATTTGTTCATGTCGTAATACAGAGACCTGATTTGGGAAGCAGGGATGGAGGTGTCTCCACAGAGACAGGCTTCCAGGATCGCATCATGGATAAACACGTACTGCTCCTGAAGAAGCAGATGGACGAAGTCAGTGATGAAGAACTCGGTGAACCCAGAGAGCCAGAGAAGGAAGGAAGGAAGTGTGTTGTCAGCCCTATTTCCTCAAGATGCCAGGGCAATGCAGCCATGGCAGAGAGGAACAAGCATCATAAAGGCCCTGGGGATAGGAGGCGAGGTTGTCTCATGTCCTAACCCTGTTTCCGACAGCTGGCATGCCACTTGATCAAGAATAGGAGGAAGCAGACTAGCTTCATGAAGAACATTACACAGACTGATCACAGCACGTGGGACAGTGGCTGAAACACCTCTCTAATTCTGATACCTCAGATTCGGAACTCAGTATCTCAGACGAGGACTGAGCATAATTCGGCTGATGATGGGAGAATTTCCTAATCGAGTTCACGATATGAAAAATGGTCCAGGAAACCTTGACTTGGCTCTGAAGACAGTTAGGACTATTAGGAATGACTTATTCTGAACCATTAATTAGTGATGCCGATAATTCTAATAAGTCCAGAACACGGCTCTTTTACATGTGTATAGTCTACAGTTAAAAGATGAGCTCTCTAAAACATGGGGTGCAACTCTGTGACGGAGCACTTGCCTCCCATGTGCAAGCCCCTGGATTTGGCCCCCCTATTGCCATGTCAATACACAAATGGAACAATTATTCCTCTAATTGAGACTTGGCAGAGACTTTTCCTAGAATTAATTTTCACCGTGTTTATTATTGATCTTTAATTGTATGAAATGTCAAAGGCGTTCTTTCTTTAAAAAAATATTTTTTTTATTTATTATGTATACAATATTCTGTCTGTATGCCTGCAGGCCAGAAGAGGGCACCTGACCCCATTCCAGATGGTTGTGAGCCACCGTGTGGTTGCTGGGGAATTGAACTCAGGACCTTTGGAAGAGCAGGCAATGCTCTTAACCTCTGAGCCATCTCTCCAGCCCCTCAAAGGCTTTTTTTTTTCTATCATTAATTTCTATACATTTTGGAAAAGGAAGGTAAAGTGAGAAGATGTGAGTTTCAACTCTTGATCAATTGTTAAAGCATGTTAAATATGAAAGCGTTGATTACCATGAGATTTTAAAATATGCCCCTAGTCTAAAGAAAAGAGAAACAGAAGGCAGCATCCTTGCCTTCTAGAATTCCCGCGCTTGTTAAAAATTACCAGGGGATTTGTAAACGTTCCTGTATAACCTAAACATAAAGGATACTCATGTGTTCTTCATTCTGCTTTAGTGATCCTCCGTGGGCTCTAGGTCCTGGGTCCTAGGTCCAGGGTGTAAGTTTTCGAAGTGTTCATTCTTAATAGACCTTGCATTTCAATGTTAAGAGTTGCTAAATGGTACAGAGTACTCCTACAAGTTTGGCAAAATCCCCTGATGCCAGGTGACAGGGAAGAACTATTTCGGGCTAGCAGGCTGGTCGTCTTCTAATGTCTGAAAGAGAATAAATCCCTGAAACTTCCTGGCAGAAACCTTGCTATTCTCAGGAGCTGCCCTGCTCTGCTGCTCAGCTAGTTTACAGGACAGACTGAACAGGAACAGTGTTGGGACCTAGGATGCTTAATATAGAGGCTCTTCTGAGTCCCTTGGCAGGGACGGCTGTGCGAATTTAGGTTGATGGCTACAGATCCCAGTACCTGGAAAACTCCTGGCACCAGAATCTGCAAGTTGAAAAGTCCTTTTTTGTTTGTTTGTTTTTGAAAGAACGGGCAAAAGAAGGAAGAAGGAAGGGAGGAGGCAGGCGGAGGGAGGGAGGAGGCAGGGGGAGAGAGGGAGAAGGGGAAGGAGGGAGAAGACAGGGAGGGAGGGAGGATGCGGGGAGTGTGGGCAGCATGAGGGAATCAGAAGTTGGCAGGTACAGCACTTTTCTGCTAGGGTATGGTAGAAACAGTTGGCAGGCTTCTTTTGCCCAAGCAGGGGGGTATACAGGACAGTGGGGACTAAGCCACGGGCTAAAGGGCAGCTGCAGTACCTCCGTCTGCACCATGTTGACTCTCCTGGATCGAAGCTCTCTGACACAGTTGTAGATGTCCACCACTCCTTCCCTTTCTGCCATGTCCAACATGATGTCGATGACTATGAAGCAGCCCGTCCTCCCTGCACCAGCGCTGCGCGGGAAGAAGCGGCTTTCAGCAGAGGAAAAGGACCATCACGGCGCTCCTACTTCTTAAAATCGTTAAGCCACTAGAAGGTCTGCGGCTTAGGCATTAGGCACATTTAAAACAACTTGATCCAGTTAGAACTAGAACATTTTCATCAGCCTCTCTGTGAAACCCTGTACCCATAAATGTTTCATGGCTCCTCCACAAGCAGGCGCCGGCAGCTCTCCTTACCTGCAGTGTACCACCAACGGGCCGGCATTAGGTGGACTCTTGGATTTGACCTGCCGGACAAATCCAAGCAGACCAGTGGCGTGGTAGGGGACCCCGTGATCCGGCCAACCCGTGAAGTGAAACTGTCTGATCTCTCGGATTTCATGGATGCCCCTCTGTAGTCCAAGGGCCAGGCACAACGGGAGGAGAACACAGAGAAAGTGATGATAAGCAAGTGAACGTGGGCACAAATCACCCCTAGGCAAGCCTAGGGCAGAAACAACAGAACCCTGGGGCAGAAGGCCATTTGTTATACCCAATTTGGAAGCCTTATAACATTGAGCTGTTTACAGGTATGAAAGGGGAGGTGATGTTTGGGGTCACGCTAATTTACACATGCAACTCCTGGAGATGAATGGGTCATTTTGGTTCCCCCCAAAATGTCCTTTCTTACAAAGCAGACTGCGTTAAAAAGCTTTTCACTAGCAGCTACTGGGATGTTAAGACTCCTGTCCTGGCTCCAGGTACTCACACGGAGCACACACCACACACACACACACACACACACACACACACACACACACACACACACACAGCCAGGGTTTAGCAGTGTTTGCTGAGAGCATAAATAAGAATCCCTTCTCAAACAGACAGACCAGCATATCTGTTTTCATCTGTGGCACAGTTAGGTGTAGCTCATTCTATGAATCCTTCAAGTGTCAAGGTGCCAGAGTTCCAGAACTATGACGGTGCCTCGTCCTGTCTCAAGGGGCATTTCCTCTGTGGAAGCAGGCGTGTCAGAAAACACGAGGATCAAGAAGTGCTTTGACTGGATTCTTCTGCCTGGCCAGAGGGTTGAAGACGGGGCACTGCCTGAACCTGAACTGACTGAAGGAGCGCAGGAAGGGAAGAGATGTCATGCTTATTTTGGCTTTCAATTTGCTCTTTTTATTTTCATTTTTTTTTTTAATGTGTAGGAGTGCTTTGCCTGAATGCATCTGAGTGCACTGCATGCATGCCTGGTGCTCACAGAGGTCACAGGGCACAGGATCTCCTGGGACTGGAGCTCAGGACAGTTGTAAGTAACCATGCAGAGGCAAGCACACATACATGGAGGCCAGACAAGAACATTAGGTATTTCCTCTATTGCTCACTCTCCACCTTTTTTTTAGACATAGGGTTTCTCACTGACCCTGAACCTCAATGGTCCAGTTTCTTTGGATGGCCAGTGAGCTCAAGGCTCTGCCTGTCTCTGTTCTCTCAATGATGAGGCTACAAACACACAATTTGCTATGGATGATGGGGAGCTGAACTCAGGCTCTTGCTTACACAGCAAGACCCCTTACCCAAAGAGCCATCACCTAGTCCCAAAGTCTGCTTGGAGAACAGGAACAGAAATTACCTTTAAAACCGAGACTAGAAGTAAATCTTGAACCCACTGGCTTTACTGTTTCCCTCCATGTGGACTTTGCTTTTATTACATCTTACAGATGAACAGGCCTTACCAGATTCTCTACTAATCATTCGCAAATGTTTAGTTATGTATTATTATGGGCTGGGAAAGGGTGGGAGACATGAGTCCATAATTTAAAATAAGACTCATTTGGTATATAAAATATTTAAAATAAAGCTCATTTGGTATTTGCTATCGGTATGTTACTGTATCTTTCATATAGTGATACACCCAATGCCAAAGCTCTATTGTCTGTGAAAATCCTATTGTTTACTGGAGTCTGAACAGTAAAGAAGCAAACACACAGCAACTCACGGTGCAAATGAACTAAAAAGGCTCCAGGATCCCAGAATAATGACACTAGGTAGTTAAAAGCCAAATTTCCTCACCACCTAAAAACAATAGCATTTAGCCAGCTCCCATGTCCCCCCAATTAGGAGACAGTCAAACCACCGTCCCCCTTCCAACCTTTAGAGAGCTAGCTGCCCTGGCATTATGTACAAAGATTTGGCCAGTGGTGATCCTAACCAGGACAGCTTTAGCAATAAATGCTTATGTCCTCCAAGGGATGGGGGATGGGATCTTCCTATGCTCAATGGCACCCCCAGTGTGACATCCTTTATGAGATGGGCGCCCAACTCGGGGCTTCATGACGCCTGTTCACAGAAAGACACATGCTAGTGTTAAGGATCCAGAAAAATCTGTTCCCACCACCAAGTCCCACTTCCTGATCTGCTGATGGCTGTCAGGATTGGCAAAGGAAATTGCTTCTGATACAGCGTCCCTTCTTGTACACGAACAACCGATTCTCCCGGGGAAACAGGCAGGGGCAATCAGCAGTCATAGCCTAAGTATTTCCCAGCTGGAGGTTAACTGCATTATTTCTTTAGTTTTCATTGGAAACGCATGAATGGCGTATAAAGGAGTGTAAATCATTTAAGGTTTCCATTCAGACTGCTGTGCCTATCCCAAAGTAGGTTTATGTCTGTGGAGTGAGGGGCTGAATCATGAAGTAGATGCCTCATCTTAAAGACACACACATGAAGTGTCTTTCTCAGGGTCTCAGGGTGTCTTGCAGGCACAGAGGATGTGGTTGTCACCTCCAGCTTCTATTCTGCTGAAACAGACAAGGTCTGGGTCCATGGGGGCCTCAGAGTTGCCCTTCTGACAGGATGGATATTGTGTGCTATCTAGAATGATTCGAGACGTGGGAAAGAAAAGGGGACCGTCGGATGCAGATGTGTTCACAGAGGAAGGAACAATTGATCTGGGTCTTGAATCATAAACAGGCGTTTGTCAAATGCGCGGGTTCATTTAGGTGCCTGTTTGACAGGATTAAGGGTGATACAGACACCCAATAAAAACAGTATTTCTTGATAGGTTTGCAAGGGTGTTTCCAACCGAGTCTGACAGTTGAACCAATGGAATGGATACAGAAAATTGGCCGTTATCCCGAATGAGCAGCCGCCATCCCTTCCCTCTTCAGGGAAGAACAACATGGCAGAGGAAGGGGAAAGGATTCTCACGTTCATACACACATTCCTTCCCCTCTCCCTCCTGACCTTCCTCCCTCTTCCTCCCTCTCCCCCATCTCAGAACTAGGTCACATTTTCCTTGTCGTTTGGCATCAGAACTCCAGGTTATCTGGCCTCTGTGCCCTTGGCCTTCAACTAATCCCACCACTGCGCCAGTCTTTTGAGTTTATCTACTCCGGGCTACTGCTGTTTGGTTGCTTTGTAGTAGAGCCCGAATCTATTTTTCCACCTTTAGGTCTCTTGCTCTCAAAACAAATCTGCAGAAACCTAAAGCCCAAGTCTAACCACTTTCCTTTCTTTTGCTTTGGATGAGAAAGTTCCAAAGTCCAAGAAGTGTTCTGCAGGAGTTAAACCATAGGGTTTTCTTAATGACTCCAAGAGCCCAGTCTGAAAATAATTAAAGCAACATTTTGATTCTTCCAATGCTTTTGCAAGCTCCTCCCCCTTCCCCTCCCTGCACTATCTCCTCACTGTTGCCTCAGGACTGAACTAGCAGCCTGTCTGAGGAACTTCACGTAGCAGGGAAGTTATCGGAGACAACAAAAGGTTAAAAACAGAGCAAAGAAACAAACCAACCCTCCCTTTAGCAACTAGGATTCATTTTCAGCTTGTTAGAGAGCCGCTGACTATTGCTCAGAGAACTTCGCGTTTAAGCAGTGGCTTAAGAAAAAAAAAATGCCAAGGGTCTTTTATTGCTGTTTTAATGCCGTTATTCATGAGTGCTCTTGCCAAGAGCCTTACAAAAATCCTGCAAGTGCTTTTCTTGCACAGCCTTGCTGCAGAAGGAAAAATATCGACATCAAAGTGTGAGCTTTAGAACTCGAAGAAGAGTCAGCCAGAACTTCACAGTCTTTGAAGTCCCCGAGTCTCCCAGTTACTTACTTTTTTTTTTTTTTAAAGGACGGGTATTGGAAAAAGAAGCTAGGTAGTAGGAGAAACAGATAAAAATAAACTGAAGCCTTCTCAGCTTCGGGAGACTGTCAAACATTGGGATTTGCAAACTAGGGGCGACAGTTGTAGTCGTCAGAGTGAATTAGACGATAAGCAGATTGTGCGGTTTCCTCATTTCCCAGAGACGCCCTGGTTCTTCTAAAAACGTGCATTTAGATCCAGCGACAACACAGGGTCAGGAGGAGGGCCAGGAGCCAAGTGGCCACCAGCCTGGCCTGACCCACCCCTCTAAGGGGTCTACTACCACTTTATGAGCCAGAGCAGAACAAATTCATGACCATTTGCCAAGCCCAGAGCAGCGGCTGTGCACAGCTGAGTCCTGCAGAACAGGCTGCTCTGCACAGGACAGCCTGTGGGCCTCCAAGGGAGCAGAATGTCTGTCAGTTACATCATCTCCGCCTTCCCCACAGCATACCTGTGGCACTTCTCTGGACGGACTGCCACTGCCGTTGGCTTCACCTCCGGCCCCTCCCTATGTCAGCAGAAAGAGGGGGGAATAAGGAGATTCCCTGTTACGGCGCTTCCCAGAGAAGCAGCCCTATCCATGCGTGCGGGATGAGGTGGGGTAGAACCAATGCGCAGCATTCGCCCCGGCCTGGGACGGACGTGGAAGTGAAGACGGAGGGACCGGTTCATGCAAGACTGCAGTGAACGATGGAGCCCATGTGGCCTTCCAGGGAGCTCCCTGCCGCTCAGAGAACCCTTGAGTCTCTTTTCAACTTTGGGCCTGAGAAAGCCTGAAGGAGGTGAGGTATTCGAGGAGCAGTTAGGACCTCTAACCTCGGCACTTAGGCCAAGGCAGCCCTGGGAAACCCAAGTGGACTTTCAACGCAGGATAGACTCACCAAGCTGGAAGGGCATTTATCTCAATTCACGAGACTTTGATTTATGAATCAAGAAAGAGAAAAGGGCAGACAGGGCTCAGCCAGGTTAAGGTGAAAAATAGCCGCGTGGTCGACATTATCTTTGTGTTTAGTTGCAAAGTACAGACTGCTGTGAAATGGGAATGGCTGACATTATGGGTGGAGCCGAGCCCTTAGAGAATCAGAGGGCAAGGTGCGGTCCTGAGAAACTACCGGAGCCTACCTGCGTCCAGGGCTCAGCTCGCTCCGGCTTTTGCCCACTTACCTTTTCCACAGCAAATGTTCTTATCACGTATTCTGCCAGCAGCTCTGTATCTATTAGAGTCACTTTAATGTCTTTGTAGATCTCAGTGTCGTCTGGCCAGTACTTGCAGCATTTTACCTACAAGAAACCCGAAGGAAATGATGGGTTTAGGTTTTTATTTAGTTCCTGCAATGAAAGGGGTCACACTATGGTTTACAGGATAAATCTGTATGCACGAGCTGGTTGCATAGCCCCAAAGCAAGTTTGTTTGTGACTGTTTTTAGCATCAACTACTCTCCTCCACTCCTGGGTTCCCAAAGAAAGGAAACAGAAGTCACAAGAAGACTGAAATTTAGGGACATGGTCTAGAGTTAACAAAACGTGGTTATTATCCCATTATAGAAAGCATTCATTCCCCAACTTCTCAGGGAATGGAAAAAACAAACAAGGGGAAGTTTGCACATTTTACTCTCTTTGAAAGTTCAGTTTCAGAAAGGGACTAAGGCTTTTTTGGGGAGGACTGAGGGAAAATCAGATTCAATACTAAAGATAAAACGACTTTGCCTGGAGAGGAAAGTAGCTTTGTAACGAGTTCTAAGACTGACAGATTCTTGTCACTGTGGTTTACAGTCACAAAGGACTGTCTCTCTTTCTAAAGCTAGTTTCAGACTAGGACACCAAGTAGGGGGTTTCATTGTGATACCTTCATACATGCCTTTGTGCTTTGTTCATCTGTATCCCTCCTCCATATTCCTTGCCCATTTGGGGGCTGGCTCTCTATCTCCTCCCTCCCCCCCCGCATTAGCACCCATTCTTCTTTCTTATGACATGTATTCCAATGCCCTCTCTACTGCCTACTTCCTTCAGGATCTTGGTGCGGGAGAATTGTCTGTATTCTGTCAATCAGGTATTTTAATAAAATGCTGATTGGCCAGGCAGGAAGTAGAGGCAGGGTGATGAGAACAGGAGAATGCTGGGAAGGAGGAAGCCCATTCCCCCCCCCCCATTCCAGCCCAGACCACCAAAGAAGCAACATGTCAGCTGCCCCTCTGAGAAAGGTACTGAGCCACGTGGCTGACATAGATAAGAATAATGGGTTAATATAAGCTACAAGAGCTAATAAGTAGCCTGAGCTAATGGACCAATCAGTTTCATAACTTATGGAGATCTCTGTGTGATTTTCTTTGGGGCTTGCCGGCTGTGGGGTACCAGGTGGGACATTAACCCCAACAAGCCAGCCCCCTCATGTTACAGGATCTCCTCCTCCTCGTGGTTCCTTTCTTATTTCATCACCCCCCCACCCCCACACACCTCCACACACGAATATATACACACAGATGTGTGATTTACAAATCTAAGTCCCACATACATGAGAAAACACGGAATTTGTCTTTCTGAGTTTGGCTCGCTTCACTTAACACCAAGATCTCCAGTTGCATTCATTTCCTCGCAGATGTGACGATTTCATTTTTTCCTGTATGGCTCCATGAAATTTCATCACGTCTTTGGAACACCTCCCACACATAATTTCCGCCCCTTATATTTCCTCTGCCACAATCTCAACTTGCTACAGGGATCATCTGGTGCAGGTGTCCTACCCAGGCAAGATCCAGAGGCCACCTCGCAAGTGGAGCCCCGCACACTGACGTGTGCTGTGGCAAACTCGTTGCTTTCCAGCACTGTTCCGGAGAGTTACTACTAGACAGTCTCTCATCTGGGGTGTTGAGTGGATTTGAAAACTGGCTACAACTTGCATTTTCAGTTCAATCTACGACTGTCAGTTTGATTTTCTATTTCAGGTTCAAGGACATACATTTACCTTAAATTTCCTCCAAACAAGGATTTCCTCTGTGATCCACAACCATCCCTTCTGATTAGAACATCCTCTCTCATTCATTTCTTTCCAGGAGATACCCCCCATCCTTCAATGCACGTGTTAGACGCACCCCAAGTTTGTCTCCATATATTTAAACTCTCTTTGATTCCCAAGGAGCGTATTTGGTAGTTTCATACAAAACTTGGCACCTAGCTATTACTGGCCAGCAGGAAAGGGGCTATTTTGCTTATGTCTTTGCTCCTGTAGCACCTGGAGGTCACATCTTATACACGATAAATGTACAGTAGCGAGGCAGGCATAGAATCAGCATGAGGAGGAAAATGCCAGGCAGTGAGCATTTTCAGAAAGGATTATGGGCTGAGAAGACTCTTTCAGAATGACAAACATCCGTGTCACGCTAACGTTTGTAGTGTTGCTCGTGGCTGGCTAGGAGTCTAGCTGCCTTTAAACTCTTGGAACTTTCTGTAAGATAATCCTTACTAAACTTAGTTGAAATACACATCAGAGTTTGAGGCAAGGGAAGCATAGGGCAAAGATGGGTTTGACCTCATACTGTTTCCAATCCCCTCGGGGACCTCCCTGTATAGCCTTTGTCTGGAAAAAGCTATCTGTGACATTATTAAAGGTGGTATCTACAAGATCTCACAAATATCCATCATGAGTAGCCAAGCAAAATCTATAATACCCAAGATTAAAAGAGAGCGATTTTCTTCCTTTAGATGCAAAGCCGATCTGATCAGACAGTGTCTATGTAGAGTTATCTGACCTGAGGGTGACCATACTTCATTTATAGACTATCCATATCAGGAGTGCCTGTACAGCACACACTCAACTCTCCTCTGTGCTGAAGGCCTTGCTTTAATGTTTCTGTGACTTCGAAGATGCAAGCAGAAGGTAGTGGATAAAAATACAAATACAGTATGCACGAATGCTTTTAAAATGGAGTAACTCAATTCAATACAACTAAAAAGGCCCCCCTCCAGAAAGTGCAAAAAAATACACACACACAACGATGCACCTGCAACCTGTACTGTAACCAGGGATCTTTTACCTTATCTGGTGTATCATGGTTGACAAACTTCAGGTGCAATAGGTGTGAGACAGTTTGTGGCATGGCTGCATGTTCACCTACTATTGACTCCCTTTCCTTCTCGGCCTAAGCATTTTTAACAAATATGAACACGGGGCCTTCAGTGCCTTGAGGTCAAGGAGCTAAAACCTGCCAGCATGGACAGAGGGTCCAGAGTTTCCCTTCTGGATAGCGCCCATGTGCCAGTTCAGACTGCATCTGAGATCTGACCTAGCTCCACTGCAGTTTTCCAGAGCTCTGCATCTCTGCAAGATGGGATGCAGCAGGATGCTCTCATGTGGAGGCAGGAGGGAGGGAGGGACCTCGAGGTTAGATCATGTCCAGCTTATGTGGGGTAGCTCCAAATTAAGGGCTCCCATTGCAGCCACACTGTGGGCAAACCGGTGTAGCTGCTCTCTAAGCAGAGACAGATGTGGCGTCCTTGCATACGCACGGTCAGGAGCTGGCCCAGAGACAGTGGCTTCCTTGCATACGCATGGTCAGGAGCTGGCCCAGAGCCACTAGAATGCTCCAATCCAGACACATTAAGAAAACAGAAGCGTGAAGGTGCTTCCTTCTTCAAAGAGTCCAGGGCAGCTAATATCTTGCACACCAGTACTTGTCTGGGCGAGTCCAGAAAAGGCAGAGGGACCATTCTGAATCTGTTTCCCCCAACTCATATCCCAGAGTATCTTGAAATGGTTTGCCACATCTGTTTCAGCCTACTAAAGCATCCTTCTAAATTGAGTTCCTCTAAGTATCTTTTTAACTGCTTGGACCTGTGTCAAGTTATTTTTTATTTTTTTTGCTTAAAGTAAAAGGGATAGGAAGGGAAGCATGTTTCATTAGAGATGAAGACTGTGGGTGTCTGCAGCCACCCCCTGGCTCTGACTTTACATATAGAGATGTTGAAGCCAATGCTTTGAAAACACCTGCTGGAGTCCTTGCCCCACACAACTGGATGCTACTCCATCTGATCCCGTGCCAAGCCAGCTGTCTCCTGCAGCCTGAAGGTACTTGCCAAGCATCTAGCAGAGTCTCTGCCTCCCACACATCTTCATCATGTATGGCAACAGTCTCCAGCCTGGGAAGGAGCTACTTCCAGGGTTCTCTGATTACTTTGGTGCCCTATGCCGGTTCCACCAGGCCATTAATCAAGCAAGAAGCACTGTGCCCCACTGGCTGCTCATGACCACGCTCAGGGCTGCAGGAGGGATGCAGTCCCTGCACCCAAGGGGTGGTCAACTTTGGCTTTAAAATTCGCTAACTTAAGCTGGGAGGTAGTGGAACACGCCTTTAATCTCAGCACTCAGGGAGGCAGAGGCAGGCAGATCTCTGTGAGTTTGAGGCCAGTCTGGTCTATAGAGTGAGTTCTAGAACTATCAGAGATACACAGAGAAACCCTGTCTCGAAAAACCAAAAAGAAAAAAAATTCACAAACTTAAAACACAGAAAGCAGTATAATGTGAGGACCTTGAACTTCCTGGTAGTTTTTTAGGAGGGCAATTTGTATCATAATCCCATACTTATTAAGGCCACAACATCACTGGGGCTAGAGTCATAGCTCCCAAGTCTAGGAGTACATACATCATTTTGACCTCGAATAGATCCTGACATGGCTACAGGAAGAGTCTAAACTACCGCACATATCAGAACTCCTTGCAGTGATTCTCAAGAAATTCTGAGGGTCTGCAGAACTGGCATTTCTAACAAGTTCCTTGGCCTGTAGACCATACCGACCAGAAAGAATTTCTGCAGCTCAATCAGACTGTAGAACCTGGCTGATGCAAGTTGGAAGAAGGCCTTGCAACTTGCTTAAGCAACCTCAGGTTCTCTGCTGTCAAAAAGGGATGGTGACCGTTCATGTCCCAGAGTGTCCTAAGATGAAGTTAGGGGTTTTCAAATCTGCTTGCACATCTGGATCAGCTAGGAGTGTATGAAGAAACCCTAACGCCCAGGTTACATTCCAGGCTATTTCTCAATTTCTGTGTCTGGACAGAAGCAGTCAAATTTCCTGAAGCTTCCTAGATGCTCCCAAATGCAGATCTGTCTGGACATCACCAGATATAATGGGATAAAAACATCTGGCCAAGTGTCCAGTTACTTACAAGAGCTCAAAAAAAGATAATCCTTATTCTTCAGCATTAAGTCTCTAATCTGGACCCTAGGTGACAATGGGAGTCGGCAGAGCCTGGAAAGTGAAACTGGATGTTTAGGCAGAGAAGGGGAGAC